TTGGTTCTCTTTGTTAGTTTGATTATTTAAATGTTAAAACATAAGGTTATAATAAAACAAATAAATTGTGTATCTTAATTTTCTTAATCTATATGCAAGGTTATAATATTAGATTATAATATTATACAAGAATCATCAAGATTATCATAATTTTATTTTATATAAAATTTACAAAACAAATATGATTAGTATTAAGACTTATATTTTTTTTTATTCAATTTTTGTATAGTAATAATCAATGGATCATATTATTTCCTAATTCTATTATTTATAAAGATATAGTTTTTTGAATAGAAGAGGAGGTTTTCTTTAATGGGAAAAAAAAAAACTTAACTTATTACAATAATATTTTGAACACTCTCACCTACCTTTAATTTTAAATTCTACATATATATATTTATCACATTATATAAAATTAAAATAAAATTTAGACCCACTTAAATCAAATAACTTTATTAAATATTATTAATTTTTCATTTGAACTTATTTTAAAAATTAAATACAATTAGTGAAAGTCTACTTAAAATTTCTTAACGTGGAAAACTAAGTAGGCCTATAACCACTTCATATTATTATATATGCTGCTGGCATTATAGACTAGGAAAATTCAAAGTCTGACTTTAAACAAACGAAAGCTAGCTAGCTTTTTGGTCATATAGATTGCTAAGACTGCAAGAAAAGTCCACTAAAAACTTAAATGCCATGGCAATTTAAAATTTGATTCCATTCCCTTTGTTTTCCATTAAATCATGGACTCAAACTGCAGATAATAATCGAAACCGCTTGAGGGTTTTTGAAAATAGGCAATGGATGCTTGAGGGTTGAGAAGGAAATTTTGTTAAGTACAATTGGCAAAAGACTTTTATTTTTTTTATATTAATTTTTCAATATCCGATAATTACATTAGATACGACTAATTTCATATCGTGTTGAACCTCATAAAAGAAAAAACTCTCCCAATACTTATTTTTTGATTCATAAAACTCAAATTCAAAATTTTATTTAAAAGAAACCAAGTTCTTTCCACTTGAACCAACAAACTGTTAGTGATAGAAAACTTTTATTTAATTGTGCTTGCTTCAATTATTTCAAATGGTCTTATCTAAGAAGGCAGACAGATCCAAAATGATGTGCGACTCATTGAAAATTCAAAGTAAATGAATAGACTAACATAATAGTATTATTGGAAGGATGCTATTGGATTGATGTTAACATCGAAGAATTTTGTTTCACTTATTTTAATTTGAAACTAGTTGCTTCAAACTTCAAAGCTTTTAGTTAGAAATTTCTAGCGTTTTCGTATGGATTTTGGAACCAAAACAAAGAAGTTCCTATCCTTCATTTTAGGATGGAAACAAGAAAGGTCAAGGTTTAAAATCCAAACAAAACATTATGTTGTCAAAATTTTTTGTTTTTAGCTAGAGTGTAATGCTAAATTTTGTGTGAATGGGAAATTAAAAATGAAAGGTTTTGATCTACGATTTAAATAATTCAATAATAATTTTTTTAACAAAAATAAAAAATTATGAATTCAAATCGTATGATATGTAAATAAGATGAGCTAAGATGTGGTTTTGGTTTTGCTCCAAAATTTTAATGTGAATTGTTGTGCTGTGTCTTTCAACTAAAGTCAATAATTACATGGTGTAAGGTTTATTAACAAAGAAATACCTAGGTCATTTTCAAGTGAATGTTGAAGTATTTGCATGGAAGCTTCATAAACATAAAATATTCTGTATAACGTATTTGATAATAAAGTTATGAGAATCTTGTTGACCAGATTGCAAACAAAAATTATTAACTCCTGTCCAATAATTTAAATTATAAATTACACAACAATTTTTTTTTTAATGCTAACACAATAGGCTATTTGGTGTACCTTAACATTTGAGTTAATTGTTATGGGCCGGGAAGTGGGAACATTAGGACAAGCCCATCTGTTTTGGGCTTCTATGTCCATTTAGTTCTTTGGGATTGGTTTTTAGAGAAAATATATAAATAAGAATATAAAAAATGTTAACTTTTATTTTTTTTATTTAAAAATATCAACTTTCAATATTTTGATTAAAAAATTCATTTGTTACATTAGTATCAATATTCAATTAATCCTTAAATAGAAAAAAATTAAAAATTAATATTTTTAAATAAAAAAAATTAAAAATTAACATTTTTATTTAGAAACTAATAAAATTAATATCT